ACATGGACGCAGAGCACACACGTCTTATACACAAAAGTCAGATGGTTTTCTAAAGGTAGATCACTTACCAGAGCTTTTGAGTTACGAAAGTTACTCCAGAGATTTCTTTTAGAAAAATATTCACCACTGGCAGCACATTTCAGTGACAGAATGGGTGGCAAAACTTGTTTACTTGTATGACTTATTCAACCTGCTCAACGAACTCAATCTGTACTTCAGGGGAGAATGACAACTGTGTTCAAGGCAGCAGGTAAGGTGGCTACATTCAAAACCAAAATTATGGGGGCAACAGCAAACAATAAGATTTTTGACATGTTTCAAACATTAGCAGAGATTTTGAGACTGAGCCAGGGTCTTCTTTCTCCCAGCTGGTACATGATCACCTATCTCAGCTTTCAAGAGTTTGAACATTACTTCCCAATCACAAAAGACCCCCAAACTGGGAAGGAATGGATTGGTGAACTATTTGTGAATAAGCCAGGTGAACTGACTTTGTTCATGATAGAAGAGGATCATCTGCTTGAGAATGCAAATGACAGTGGCCTTAAAGGTATGTTTGAGACAACTTCAAATCTCCATACATTCTGGATTACAGTCAGAATATCCCGAGATTGCCATAAAAGCACTGAAAAGTCGGCTTCTATATCCAACATCCTATCTTTGTGAAGCAGAGTTTTCTGCAGTGACAGCAACCAAAATGAGATTACAGAGTAGACTGGACAAAAACAACAAACATTTCCGGTGTCACTGTCCTCCATCATCCCCAGATGGGACTGTCTAGTTGCAGGAAAACAAGCTCAGAGCTCCCACTAATTCTGCATTATGGTAAGTTGTATCATTATTTCATTATAAATTATGATATAATAATAAAAATAAAGTGCACAATAAATGTAATGTGCTTGAATCATCCTGAAACCAACCCCTACCCCACTCCCCTAGTCCGTGAAAAAATTGTCTTCTATAAAACTGGTCCCTGATGCCAAAAAGGTTGGGGACCGCTGATGTATAGAATGACAGCAGTATGCTGTCTGTAGTATATAAACACACAGTAACTGTCACATTTGAGTTTGTACTGATCACTTCAAGAGTACTTTGTATGCAGGATAATACAATATATACAGTACCTACAATACAAGCAGATGCTACAATACATCAGCTTTTACTGTGAGACATACGGAGCTCATTCCTAATCCAACCTCCTTTAATCTGGTTGACCTTCTGCCTAGAATGTTCTTCCTCCAGAACTTCCCATGACTGTCTCATTCTTATATTCGGCTCAAATGTTACTTTCACGGAGAGGTGAGTAGTATCCCACATTCAGTCTCTCTCTGTCACCTCACAATTATCTTCGTGGCATTCATCACCTCCTGAAATGGGCTTACATTAGACTGTATTTGTTATCTGTCTCCCTCATAAGACTGTAAGTTCATAGAGGGCAGGAATTGTTTTTTAGCATGCTTCCTGGAACACATTAGTTGGCCCTGAGTAAATACTAGTGGAATGTATGAGTGAGCGACAGATCCTCCAGTCCTGCTCTAGGCACTGAGGATGTAGCAATGGCTCAAGCAGACAAAATGCTCTGAACTCTTGGGAGTTTATATTTAAATGCAGGGAAACAGACAGTCAACAAATAAGCTGTGGAAAGGAAAGCTGCTAGAGGGCAGTGCTGCATTAAGTAGTCTGTCAAAAAAAGGTCTTAGAGATCTGAAAAAGGTGAAGAAGATGGAGGAGGTGGGAGGGGATAAGTCCCTTATGCAAAGAGAAAAGGAAGTGCAAAGGCCCCAAGAAAACAGGAAGGGGGCTGGCTAGATGGCTAAAGCCAGCCAACTCCTGAAGTATGGTAGGAGATGAGTCGCAGATGTGCTAGCAGACAGCTCCAAACATATAGAGTCTTGTAGGCCACTGAAAGGACACTGGGTTTTGCACTTGTGTGAGATGGGAAGCCACTGGGGGGTTCCAAGTGACATATCTGACTTGGGTGTTAAAAGTCTGGAAGGATTTTGAAGGTACAACTGACGGGATTTGCTGATGCAATGAACAAAGTAAAAATACAAAAAGATGCGCAGAACTGATACAAAGAAGGCTTTTTCTAGGATTTATAAAAAAGACTGGGCCGGGTGCAGTGGCTCATGTCTATAATTCCAGCACTTTGACCAAAAAAAAAAAAAAATTAATTAGGTGTGGTGATGCTCACTTCTAGTCCCAACTATTTGGGAAGCTGAGATGGAAAAATCGCCTAAGTCCAGGCTGTGGTGAACCACGATTGTGCCATTGGACTCCAGCCTGGACAACAGAGACTGAGAATCTCTCATTCAAAAGAAAGAGAGAGAGAGAGAGAGAGAGAGAGAGAGAGAGAGATTGAGAGATTTTGTCAGGTCTGTGACACTAATATGATATAGTAGCACAACCTCCTAGAAATCTTGGATTACATCGGAACTTGGAAATTTTGTGTCATTTATTATTTATCCCCAAAAACAGAACAACAAAAGGGTGGTGAAATATACTCAGTATCAGAATCTGTACTTGCTATTAAGAGAGCTGGTCTGGGGCTTGATCTCATTTCAGCACCCTGACATGAGTGCAGTAATTGTTCAGGAGACATAAACATTTCAAAATGAAAATGACATGTATTCGTGCCAAGACTGTGAAGCTCACTGGGTAGTTACACAAAAGGATAGAACATTATCAAGAACAAAGATCTTGCCTGATTTATCCTGAGGGGCTGTCTGTACTTCAAACAGATCTGATAACTGCTCATTTCTCTGACCCTGTGCTTATTGGGCTACACAGAAAGCCTGAAAGCTTCCTAGAAATTACTCAGCCTTGCATCTCTACCTGGCTCCCTGCAAATAGCCGGTACACACAAACATTAATTGACCCCACGCTTAACAGCCTCCTCTGCCTTCTCCTTGTCTTCTTGCAGCACCCAGGAGCACTTATTTATTCATACCCAAATCGGTGATCAGATAATCACTCATAAATATTAAACTTCAGAAAGTCCTGGGCGCCAGGCAGGGCCTGTGTGGGGAGAAATCCCGAGATCCCACCTGCCTGGGAAGCCAGGGGAAACTTTCAGAGGGAGGAGTTCGGTGGGCTGCCATCTGACAGGTGAATGCGAATGTGCAGACAGCAGGAGTTAGAAAAAGAGACCGGATCTAGCAGAGGCCCTTCAGATATACACACATCCCTCCCTGAGATTGCAGAAAACCTGGAAAGGGTCGGACGGAAAGGCCAACGCGAGAGGAAGACCTGGACCTTTGGTAGCATAAACACGCAAGGGCTGAAAAGTGGTTTTAAAAAATTACGCTAGATCAGCAAACGTTCTGAGTTTTCGGGCGCCATTCACCCAAGGCTGGAAGGGACCCTGGGACCCAGCGTTTCTGTGGCCTTACTATATACTCCTTCCCTTCAGGCGGGTCTCCAAGGTCCTGCGGGAGGGGGGCCGCCCTCATGGGGGCCCGCCCCGAAGTCACACTTTTAGCTTACCCAAGTCCCTCTGTCGCCATTTTTGCTTAATTCCTCCTATTTTGAGCCCTCTCAACCACTCAGTTTGCCTCTGCACCCAGAAAATAAACTATCGTACAGCAACCCAGGGCAGGATATCGAAGCTTGCTTTTCCTTTATAGGGTTCTTTCCGAGGCTGCACCGCGACGTGAACCAAGTCTGGCTGTCTCCGGGCTGCGGCGGCCCTTTTGTCTCTCCGGAATTTTCGCCTCCCTCGGGAACTTTCAGTGACACAACCAGCTATGTCAGTGCCACTGCCGCACTGTCTGAAGCGGCCAGTACCGCAGGCTGCCGGGCGAGTGGCGGCCATGCATTTTCACTCCAAGGGAGCGGGAGGCGCCGGAAAGTTTAATCCATCCCAGGTGCGGGTGGGGCTGGCAGGGGAGGGGGCGCGGTGACCGCTCCTCCAAAAAAGAGCCGTCTCCCGAGGGGGCCAAGTCCCGGGCTCGGTGCACTTCGGAAGAGGGAGAAAGTTGGGCTGGAGCGCGGGGCGGCCTTTGATGTAAGTCATCTCAATGAATCCTCATACCCCGTGAAAGGTGATCTCTCCAACTGACAGATGCAGACTCTGAGCTAAACCAGAGCCTGTTCAAGGTCACCTAGCTGGCAGGTACCAAGCTGGGCTCTGCACTTTGTTCTGCTGGACCCTAAGCCCATGCTCTTCCCAATAAAATAACTGGAATAAATAATAGTAACAAACATAAGAATGCACATTTGTAAATTAATGGGCTTACCTCCC